AAATAATTAAATGACAGATTTCCCTATCCTTTCATATACTTAAACTTGTGAAATTCCTTCCCTTTTATGAGGCCTCCAATATTTAACCCGTTCGGGGGAGGGAGCCTTCCCGTATAGGCCATTATAGGGAGTACCCCCTGGGGGAAGTGGTAAGTGGACACTAAATTGATTCACAAAACCGAACCACTCCCCCTGAATATACGATGTAAGTATAAATCTTGTAAAAAAAATTAGTGTTCTATTACGAATGCCGTTCTGTTATTGGCTTCGTTACTCACCATCTATTCTGTAACCTAGCAGTGTGTGGTTGTTAACAAAATTGCGCTCGCTTCTTGGCGTTTTGAGTTCTGGTACACACTTTTCCATCAGGGATGGCGGAGCGTATTTTGAATTTGGGGGGAGGGTGTTACAAGCGAGCGCCAGGGCCCTGACTTTTAGGGGGTCTGGAGATATTTGTAAAATTATTATTATATGTATTTTTTGCTTGAAACTGGGAGTGATAACAATGGGTTGACAGGCCTACACAACTCCTATCCACGTGTCATAGCCGCTTTGAGAGTTTTGCTCGAACTAGTATATAACAAAAGAATACCTCAATCGTTGACATGGTAACCGGTGTTGCTGAGAAACTAGCACAAAATAGATTAAAGTTGATCTTGTATGATAGTTATGGCGTAGTTAAACTAAGATCAAAGGTTGCTTTCCAATGGAACATTTCTCTCTAAGACCCGTACCCTAGTCGGCGAAAAACAACTATATCGAGCTTGCTTTATTAAGCGTTTTAATATTTTGAATAAGTTATACCTGCACATGGAGGACCCAGCATGAGAGTGAAAGATATCACGCCGTATAGACTCCCCAGCGCGGCTGACAGCTTATGCACACCCACTATATCCGTGTTTAACACCGCGATAAGCACCACATACAATCCATCAAATAAACCCATGGCCACGACAACTATGACCAAAGATGCGTAACTTCTGGCCAGAGGACACAACGTAGTGGTCACCCCGAAGCCCATGATGGCCATCTGTGTCATGAACAATCGATTCACCTTCGGGTGGTCCGAAAATTTGCCAAACCCGAACCGGCTGATTATGGAGGCGATAGACATGAAGCCAATTAAAAGCGCTGCTTTTGAAGGCGAAATCCCCAGTCCTTCCACGTGACTGACCTGTTTGAGAACAATACAATGCGTTAAAGTCGTCGTTGCTTTTATAAGATTCAATGACTGATTTTAAGATCAGAAAGCGCCATGTGCTTTTTATTTGGAGATTCCTTTTTTTAGAATAACCGGAAGTAATGTTCATTGGCTATTAGTG